TGTTTCTTCAGAGAGAAAGAAACAAAAAAAATCCTCCTCTCCTCCTCAGAAACTCGCAGTGAATGAAACCCAATCTCTTTCAAATCTCTTGGGTTTCTTCTCTAGATTCATCAATCCCAATCTCTCAATTTCTGATTTAATCCCTAAAAGATCCAATCTTTGTTGTGTTTGTGTGGGTCAATCGAATCTCCACTTGTTTCTACTGATTATCGAAATTTATGGGTTTGTAACGACTGAAATCATTTTGGGTCAATCGAATCTCTATTTTTTCTGGGTTTTTGTAGCGTTTGGAATTGTATTGGCGTGAATTGAAGATATACGAGATGGAGATTAATTTGACTTATGGAGTAATCAAGAAGATAATTGATGGAGAAATGGAGGGCAAAGCAGACATGATTCCGGTTATGCAAGTGACGGAAATGAGATCGGTTAAGGCGGAGTCTCGAGGTACAACGACGGAGAGGTTTAGAGTGATTTTATCATATGGGATTTACTTGCATCAAGGAATGCTCGAGAGTGATTTTAACAAAGTTGAGGTTTGTTTGGAAGAGAAAGATATGGAGGATGGTTTGTTTAAGGTTNCGAATCTTGAAGAAGTTANCNNAATTTTGATTCNTCATACGCCGGAAAANCTTAANGAGCTTATTANATTNTCTTTCGTTAAACCAATTAAAGGTGTTCTTTCGTTTTTCTCTCTGGGATTTTATCGATGTGAGTTTGTTTTGTTTGTGTAATTTCGTTATTGAGAAAATTTTGGTTTCTTTGATCAAATCAATTCTAAAAAGATCGGAGACTTTCAGATCTTCCTAAGATCAAACATGTGAAAATCAAGTTTCGGGTTTAAAATTGGTTTACTGTTTCGTAATCGGTTATTATATGGTTAAGTACGGTTTTGCTTTCTAATCATTTGGTTAAAAGAAATTTGACCAATAAACCGACATTTAAATGGATTTGGGGTGAAATAAGCGTTTAATGTTCATTCTGTGGGGAAATAAGCGTTTAATGTTTATTCTGTGGGGAAATAGTACGAGATTAGTTATCCGAGTCTATTTGGGAGGATATAGAAATGTCGAGAGGGAATTAGTACGTTCTTCTAAAGTCTAAAATAACTTTGGCTCTAAGGTTCGTTAAAATATTGGATTAGTTAACTTTAATTAGTGTCATTATTACTCATGATTGCATAAC